ATTTAGTTAAACTGTTCGAAAGAATACTGCTCAGACGTCTCCGCCCGTGCATCCAACTTCGGGCGGAGCAGCATGGATTCAGGAGGGACAACGCAACAGCAACACAGATGACCAGAGTCCTGCACCTGCTTGCGGCCGAGCACAACCGCGGCCGCACATCGTTGGGCGTCTTTCTCGATATCGAGAAGGCGTTCGACAGGGTGTGGCACCCAGGATTACTCTATAAGTTAGACGATCAGACCAGTGTTCCTCCTGCTATATTGCGTCTAGTGGCGTCTTTCCTCGCAGGAAGTTCTACGTCTATATAGAGGACGCCGAGTCCGCAATAAAACCCATAACAGCTGGTGTGCCACAGGGCAGCTGTCTGTCTCCAGTCCTGTACGCGGCTCACACCAATGACATCCCTACCCTGGCAGGGCAATTAATGGGAGGACGACGTCGAGCTGGCGCTTTTTGCGGATGACAGCGCCTACTTCACCTCGTCCAGAAGAGCCCATATTGCCACTGCCAGGATGCAATGTCTCCTGGACCTACTGCTACCATGGTTGGATGAGTGGAGGATGGCCGTCAATGTTAGCAAGACGACCGCTCTGCTCACTCGCCGCTATAGAAATGTACCACCACCGCTAACCCTCAGAGGCCAGGAGATCGCATATGAGAAGGCCGTGACCTACCTTGGATGCCGGATTGACAGGATGTTGCGCATGACTGCACACGTCGACTTTGTTGTTCGCAAAGCTCGATGTGCGCGGGTGATGCTCCGTCCTGTCCTGGCATCCAAGTTACCGACAAAGTCGAAGTTGACCATCTATAAAATGTATATAAGACCCCTGCTAACATACGCTGCTCCGGCCTGGTATGCACTCCTGAGCGATCATCAGAAGCGGTGACTACAGGCCCAGCAGAACTTGTCATTACGAACCATAGTCAGTGCGGGTCGCTACGTCCGGAATGACGTCATAGCGGACAACCTAAAGATTGAAAACCTACAAGAATTCGTGGTCCGGCTGGCGCGCGGTATGTTCGACCGCGCCAACAACGGGCCACATGAACATCTCAACGGCTTCGCGCCGTTGCACTCACGGCTCCCGGACGGGCGACCCTATACAAGAGAACTCCTCCCTATATAGATTAGGGAGTCGAGTAAATTCCACAATGCCGCTGAAAGGCCAACTTAGAAAAAATAATTGTGTTAAACACAATTATTGAGATAACCTCCCTTTCTTATAAAATTAACCGACTGCGACGAAAAGTCGCTATTTATAGTACAACGCCTTTTTACAAAGGCGCCCAGGACCGACACACGGTAGTGTGCCGAGAGGAATGTCCGGTTAAAGGGGGTATACCCCGAGACCCGATACCTGCTGGGCAGAAAGCCCATGCAGATGACAACAGCTCAGCTTAGCTCAAATCGCAGTCGCAGCACAGCCGTCGAAGAGGCAACAACAAGGAAAAAGGAAGCCAAAACCTAAGGAACAAGAAGCTACCTAGGAAAAAAGTGTTTTAACTGCCTCCTCCCGGCTACTCGTCTATCTCTCTCTCGAGGTCCCAATAGGGTCGTACTATACATATGCATTCAGGGGTGCGTGGGACGTGCGTCACCAGCACTAAGCAAGGAACGTACGTCATCAAGTGAGAGATTGTCCCAGGGCGACTATACGGGCACTGGACGTGTCCCTGCCGTCCGAAATAGACCCCTATGCAAAGAAAATTTGACGAATATCAGCGGATAATGCAATACGAAACAATCGAAAATTTACTATTATATTAAATAAGTTGCCATGCAAATTTTGTCCACTATAAAGAATATCGTTAAGTGAAAGGTGAGTGCTAGTTCTAGCACTAGCATCGAGCACTACACCTAATTTGGACGTAAGTTAGTCTTCCCTGATGACACCGTGATGTGGTATGAAATACGACGGTGTGTCTTCATAGTTATCTATTTTTGGAGTCGCAAGTGATATGTAACCCTCCCTTATAAATTAATTAATGACACCGTCATAAGCTTCTGTCAATCTGGGCGAAGCAAGCATCTTGCGCTCCAAACAATAGAAACGTTTTTCCACTATTTGACGCGAGTCACCGAGAGACAAAATATCCCCTTTAAAGGGTAACGCTACACTATATAGACCATCGCGATCACGAACGGATCGTCCGAACATAAATTTACTACGGAACGTTCACCTCCTCCATCTCCCAAAATTTGCAAACGAATGACTCGAGCGGCTCGACAGCCGTGCAATAATAAGAAGTTGTCGAAATATTATCAATGATAGGTAACTTTGGTTTCTAATGCGTAAGGTGTGGTACACGAGGAGTTCTCCCTGACCTTATTGTGTAGCAAAAGGTGAGGGAAGATAGATGCCCCGATGAGCATCACTGGCTCCAGGGACGGAGTAAGTATCGTCCGCTAAAGCTAAATTATCGAAATTAGTTATTGCGGAAGAGTCAACTGAAACGGTTGGCAAGCGCTCAGTGACCTTATCTACTATTAATGAATTTTGATTAAAATTAATAGTACGATCTAAACGAGAATGAAATTCTTAATTTATCGAGCATTGGACCGTTTGATTGAAGCCTCCAATTCCCTTTACTACAGGACATGAGGGCATCCTATTCGCTAATAATCCCAAACGTTGGTTGCACTGCTGTGTTATAAAGACCGACCGAGAGAGCATGCCAGAGATTCGGTATCATCCTTTCGGAAAAAATGGGTCAATGTGTGCAAGATTACGAATGTGTAAGCCCGAGACTGCTATGGATACGAATGAAAATGGGCTTCAAGAAATTATTTATTCTAGAGGTCTGCACCCCAGACATATCTAAGCCCACTTATATCCGAGAGCAGTTTTGGGAGATAGCAAGGATTGTGTTAATGAAATGTAAGGGAAATGAAAATATTATAACATTAGAAAATTTTAATGGAAGGGTTAGGGTTAAGAGGCTTGGTATAAAAGGATATTGGGAACCTTTGGGGATGAAAGTATAAATAAGAATGGTGAAAGCCTCCACATTTATGTGGAAAAGAATATTTTTGTGACGAGGACTTTTTACGTCTTAAGAAGATTCACATTTACAGGTGATGATAGAAGCATGATAGATTGCATAATTGTGGACGAAAGAATGAGGAGCGCAGTGGTAGATACAAACGTTTACAGGGGGTCTAACGGTCTATTCAGACGTTGGCGGCACCGGACATCTGCGTTTACTACTGCGTTATAACGTATAATAACAGAGAGGTTACAAGATGAAGGTGTGAAAAATGTAAAAATGTAGATTAAGAGAAAATATAAGTGGTTTGGATCAATTGTGTATGAATAATTTAGACTTGAAAACAGTGCGGCATAATGTTAAGCAAGATTTGATAGATGCAGCGTACCGAAGTATGTGGTGTAAGTAAGAAAAAGAATGAAAAAGAAAAATAATCCGTTATGGTGGAAAGATGAGGTACGGATAGAAGTTTAAGTAAAGAAAAGAGCATGGCTAGATTTACTAGCAACTTTTTCATTTTCCGTGCGCATACACGCGAAGAAGTTTTTGGCTGAAAAACAAAGATTTTTTTGTGTGTTTATGAACTTGGAAAAGACTTATAATAGGGTGGGCAGGGATGTGTTATGACAAACACTAAACTCATTTGGGTTGAGCGCTGGGTTGAGTTGAGTGCTTGCGTCAGGATCAACAGGGCCTACTCGGACTGGTTTAGCAATTATAAAGGTGTCAGACAGAGCTGCGTGGCTGTATATGTACTGTTGCTTGGAAATTTTTAAAAAAGAAGTATGTGGTTTAAGAATGGGTGAGTTAACCGCCGCAGAGCTGCAAATGATAGTTACGTTAATGAACAGGTCATTTAAGAAAGGGAAAGGAAAGTTTAGTAAGACGAAAGTCATGGTTTTTGAAAGAGACGAAAATAAAACGATATGTAAAATTAGAATAGAAGGAGAGTTGGTCGAGCAAGTAAATGAGTTTGCGTATTTGAGTTGTTCGTTTAACAGGTATGAATAAACGAGTGAATGCAATGGCGGAAATATGATTTTACACTCTATTGCGAAAATTCAGAATGTATCTAAAAAGGCACGTTTGGCAATTCACAACGGTGTGTTAGTCCCTAATTTAATGTACGGTATTATAAGTAATGTGTGGCAGAAAAAGCACGAGAGTAAATGCCGTAGAAACGCATTTATTAAAGAGTGTGTTAGAGCCGTATCTAAATGACAGGGTAAGAAATTGTGTGATAAGAGAAGAGTGTAGTTTGCAAAATAATGTTTTGACTTCATAGTCAAAACATTATTTTAATCATTTAAGAAAGGAATGCTTCGGTGGTTTGGTAATGTAGAAAGAATGAATGAGGAAGAGTGACAAAGCTTTATGTTGCAGAAGTGAACGGCAGAATTGGGAAGGGACGCCCTAAACTGCCTGGATGTGGAGGAGGATAGATAGGTGTGCCAGATTCGTGCCAAATATAATATGTCCGTAGTCTCTGCGTACGCCTCTGGATGACAGGCGCGAGTGTTTATATTTATGTTCTTACTAAAACATCAGCAAAGGAAAAGAGTTCCTTTCCCCTTTATGGTCACTACTTGTAGCTATTCTCATTTGCACTTCCCGTGATCGTTTTTTATATTGCACCCGTCCTATCATTTTTTCTCACAACACTTATTTTCGAATTGATAGTAAAAATTATTTAGCTTTGTGTTTTACAACCGGCCGATTGCCTCTCGGCAATCCTACTTGAAAAAACGGGACTAAAGTCAGTAGAGAAAGGGAAATGGACTAAGAAAATAATAAATTGGAAGTTTAATAGGCGATGGAGAAAGAGGTATCATTGTCACAGAGATGAGAATGTAAGTAGAATTTGAAAGTAAATCCAGGGCCCGTATGCGAATGCACCTATTAAATACCGAGTGGGTAGAATAATTCTTTAGATTAAAATTACATGACGACCATGTATTTAGTTCTGGGTAAGAACTAAATGCATAGTCATCACGGTTGGTATTTAATACTTACTTTATTTGTATAGAATCAAATATTACATCAAAATTTTCTGGATCTTTAGTCAGAGTTACTCTCATGTAAGTTATAAGCTCATCAACTGATACAACTAAAAGTCCCGCAAGTTCTACATTCATCGTACTAACTACAGCTTTGTAATCGTAGTATACCTAAAATAACAATATTGTTTGGATTAACAATCGATTAGAGAACTTTAAAATTTTTAATCTTATACTAAGTTTTAACCTTCAAATTGCTGAAGCCGACAACGGTATCTACTTTGCGCAATTGACTGTCCTTTTTGCAAGTCGCAAATGATCTTCTGTGAATTGTGTCTAATCCTAGTAATACACCGTTTGTGAGTCTAATTTCCTAAAACATATTTAAATGTGTTATTATTTTTACCGACGAATTGACTGACTCGTTGGTCTAGTGGTTGTAGTAGTGCGACTGCTGATCATGAGGTCCTGGGTTCGAATTCTGGGTCGGGCCAAAAATCAATTATTGAGTTTTTCAGTCAAGAAATTCTCAGTAGCTACCCAGAGTAAGGAAGTTGGTGGTGTCTCATCCCCGTGCCTTGGAAAGCACGTAAAGCCCGTTGGTCCTGCGCCTGATCTCTCTCCGGTCGTGTCGGTTTACCGTCCCATCGGATTATGAGAGTGCACCTGTGCTTGCGCATGCACTTGGGCACTATAATCCTGTCCTGCGCTGATGGCTAGCCTCCGTTGAGGCAGGCCGCCGAGGCCGACATTCGGTCTGGAGGACATTATTATTATTAGTATTATTTTGACCGACTTAAAGGAGGAGCCGCTTAATTCCTCTGTATGTGTAATATATAAATAAATAAAATAGTTTAAGGGTGGAAAAATAGGGGATGAAAATTTAAATATAATTATTTATACGACATTGTTGTTGTTATTTTGACTTTTAATATTTTTTAGTCCACACAAATGGGTGAGAAAATATCGACATCAAAAAATAATAAAATGCTTCCCAGTCTGTGTCAACACTTCATAGGTTATTAGGTTAAATATATTTCATTGTTGTTAGTCTTTAAACTTGTTAATTTTTACTTTTTCAGTTCGTTCATAAAAGAGGTCCTTTGTGGCAATTTATAGAAGAGACCTATATTCTCTCTCTCTCTCTCTCTCTCTCTACATATATATATATATATATATATATATATATATATATATATATATATATATGTGTGGGATATTTCAATAATTTGAGACGAAACACTCACTTTTATACTGCTTCTTTTATTTTCATTAAGTCACAAAAAACATATTACATCTTACTCTCTTGATTACAATGACATTTTTAAAAAGTGACATCTTACAATTTTATTTTCAGTTCAATAATCCAAGGAGGTCAATATTCTACAACAAACAATAAAAACAAACTACTCATTGCTAAATTATCCCACACGGCCGTCCTGATCATTCATCTGACCCAGATGAATCGTCTTCCGGCGAAATCCACGGCTTCATGAGATCAGCTGAGGTGGTTGTATTAATCGGGCCTTCGCTGATACCAATCTTCTTTACAACATAACGATCGTTTGAATTGCATTTAACAACTTCATAGGGTCCTAAATATTTAGGACATAATTTACTTCCTTGTGAGAACTGTGTCTTTTTTATGGCTACCAAATCTCCAATATTAAAGGGTATTGCTGCTCTTCGCTTTTTATTATAGCTTTTTATGTTTTCTTCTTGTACTTTCTGTATAGATTCTTTGGCCTTCTTTCTAAGTTCTTCTCTTTTCTCGTTAAAATTCTGTATGCTTTCTTCTTCTATTAATTTCTGAAGTTCATCATCTTTATCTCTCATTTTAGTGCCAAAAAGCAGTTCAAATGGTGTCATTCTTATACTTCTTTGGTATGTTCCATTCAAACATCGTTGTACTTTGGACACACGGCGATACCATTTAGTCGGGTCATCAGCACTTAGTTTGCTCAACACGGCTATGATAATCTGATGGATGCGCTCAACTTGACCGTTTCCTCTGGGTTGTCCGGTGGTAATTGTATAGTGCGTTATATTCTCACTCTTACAATACTCCTGGAAGTCTCTTGAAGTAAAAACAGCGTTTCGATCAGTAAAAATTCTTTCAGGTGCTCCAAAGGTTTGTTGTTGTAGTCTTAGTTTCTCTAAAAGTCTCTTTCGTGGTTAAAGTCTTAACAGGGTAAATCCATGTAAATTTCGTATAAGCATCCACGACGGTAAGGATGTATTTGTAACTCTTGTGAGTCGAAGTCATTGGTCCTAGATGATCCACATGGTATGTCGATAGTGGGACATTACCTTTGTCTATCGGGTGTAGGAATCCTTCTTTTTTACCTCTTTTGTGCGACATGAGAATGCATTCAATACAATTACTTATGACTTTTTTTTATTTTTTCAGTTAAATTTTCAATAAAATATTCCCTATTAATCAGTTCTTCAGTTTTTAAGATTCCAAAATGTCTTTTTTCGTGATTTTTCCTGATTATCTCATACTGCATTTTCTTAGGCACAACAATCAATTTACTGCCATCTTTCTCTTTATATAGTATTTCGTTCTGTATGATATAATCCTTGTATTTTTCTGTTTCTAAAATTCTTTTAATCAGTCTCACATAGTCGTCTTCATTCTGTGCTTTCTTTAAACGAGCTGTAGTTTCAGTAAGTATCATACAGATAGGATATCTGCTCAGTGCGTCGGCGTGTCTCATTCGTGTTCCTGGTCTATGTTCGATCTTGTAGTCGTATTCTTCTAGAAGCAGGGCCCAACGAGCGACTCTAGGTGGTAAGTCCTTTTTTTTGTTGTGTCATAGTAAGAGCAGAGCAATCTGTAACTATTTTAAATTTTATCCCAAGAAGGTAAACTCGGAACTTCTTTATGGCAGCAACAATAGCTAAAATTTCTAAGTAATAACTATGGTATTTTCTTTCAGCTGGAGTTGTTTTTTTACTCATATAGTGCACGGGGTGAAATTGATTGTCTTTAGGGCTTCTTTGTAGAAGAACAGCTCCATAACCGTCAGTACTTGCGTCGGTGTGTAATTCTGTCTCTAAATCTGGATTGAATATTCGGAGAACTGGTGAGTTACACAATATTTGTTTCAATTCTATAAAAGCTTTCTCACACCTTTCATCAAAATTGAATACAGCATCTTTCTTTAACAAATCCGTCATCGGTTTTGCAATCAGGGAATAGTTTTTTATAAACTTTCTGAAATACCCTGTCAGTCCAAGGAATGACTGCACAGTTTTTATATTGTTTGGTTTCTTGAAATTCGCTACAGCTTTAATCTTTTCTGGAGACGGTCTTACTTCGTTGTCACAAATAATATATCCAAGACATTGGATTTCCTTCTTTAAAAAATGGCATTTCTTCCAATTAAACTCTAGACCGAATTCTTCGCTTCTTTTAAATAATTTCTCTAGCTTACTTATTCCTTCTTCTTCTGTTATCGAGGGTATAATTAAATCATCAAGGTACACTAGCAGTGTCCCATCGGTAATTAGATAGCTGAAGATATCGTTAATAAATCTTTGAAACACAGATGGCGCTGTACATAATCCATAAGGCATTCTTTGAAATTCGTACTGGCCTTGGGGTATTACGAATGAGGTGTACTTTTGACTATCTTTGTGTACTTTCACATGTAAAAAGCCATTCTTCAGATCAAGGGACGTGAACATTTTGGCCTCCTTCAACTTGTCTATCTGGTCTTCTATTATAGGTAGGGGAAATCTTTCTTTAATTACCTTTTTATTTAATCGTCGATAATCTATACACATTCTACGTGACCCATCTTTTTTATCAGCCAGAACTACAGGACAGGCGAAATCAGATTTGCTAGGTTTGATTATTCCTTTGTCTAACCATTCTTTTACTTGCATATTCACGGCATTCATTTCTAAGGGTGACAAACGTCGGGGATTCTGAAAAACTGGTTCTTCATCGGTAAGTATTATTTTCAATTCAACGTTACTTTCTTTCTTCTTTTCACTAGGTCTGTACTCTTCACACATCTTACGAATCTTTTCCGCGTATTTAGAATCCCCTATATCATATTCTTGTTCATTATCCTTTTCCTCCATTAGAAGTGTAAGATGCATAATCTTTTGTATAAAGACACCTTCAGGAGTGAAACACACTTCGAAATCTTTAAGGATAGGATTTCCAATCAGTAAAGTTACCGGTATCTCGTTGTCTTTTACAACATGAAACCTGACATCTGTGTAGTAATTGTCAATTTGAACATTGGCTGTAAACATTCCTTCAGTAAGAATTTGTTTTTCGGCTATTCCTGTTATACACGTTGATTCTGTTTTATAATCTTTAATTCCCTCTTTAACCTTCTCGAATTCTGATTTTGTTATGAGGTTAATATCACTTCCAGTATCTATTAAGGTAACAAATTCTTTACCATTAATCTTTATCTTTTTGTAGGGTACTTTCTCTTCTTCACTTTTATTTCTAATTTTCAGCGTCTTCTTAGGTTTGCTTGTACATTCAGTTGATTTGTGACCAAATTCATTGCATTTAAAGCATTTGACTCCCCTTTGGACAGGTGGGCGATTGATGATCCAGTTCGCCACAGTTGTAACATCTTTTTACATGAGTCATCTTACGGGTTGAATGATGCCCATGTGATTGGCCAGACTGTGCCGATTTGTTAGGCACCTTCGTTCTAAAAGCACTGTAGATTTCTAACTTCCTGCGAAAATCCTTTATGTCTGTAGCGCCATATAAAATAACTTTATTGGTCTCTAGATCACGAATACCATCAATGACATACTCAATCAGGGCAGCGTCTTCAACCTTGCCATGAAGTGCTAATTCTTTCATAGACAGGAAATATTGTTGGTAAGTTTCATCGTTCTTCATCTTACGCGATGCAAGTTTCTTATGTATGATTGCGCTATTAATCTTGGGGCCAAATTCTTCCTTAAGTGACTTTTTTCAAACTCGCGTAATCCTTTACTCTTCCCAAGGATCGTAAAAATAGCTTGGCAGTACCGTCTAAAAGTCTCTTTGCATAGACCAGCTTCTCGACTTTAGTCCACTTCATAATTTCGGCAGTATCTTCAAATTCGTCAATAAATGTCTCAATAGGATAGGTGTCATCTCCGGTAAAAATGTTCATTGACTTCTCCAAGTCTTTAAATGAAATCTGTATATCTAACTCCTGCCCTTCATCTTCACTTTCTTTTACATCTTTCTTCGGCGGCATTGTGGTTGTCAAACTACTATTAGTCTTTCTTTTTCTAGTCGTGCAAAATGACAGCTTATTTGAACTCATTAAGTTTTCAGTCCTTAAAATAAATTTTCATATCCAAATTCCAAAACGTTGTAATAAATCTTCGAATCTTTAGTCTTCGTCTCGCCTCAAATTTTGGGCGATCCCGGACGAGCCCCCAAAGTTGTGGGATATTTCAAGAATTTGAGACGAAACACTCACTTTTATACTGCTTCTTTTATTTTCATTAAGTCACAAAAAACATATTACATCTTACTCTCTTGATTACAATGACACTTTTAAAAAGTGACATCTTACAATTTTATTTTCAGTTCAATAATCCAAGGAGGTCAATATTCTACAACAAACAATAAAAACAAACTACTCATTGCTAAATTATCCCACATATATATATATATATATATATATATATATATATATATATATATATATATATATATATATATATATATATATATGTATTTATAGGACAGGGTGACGTACCAGCACACAGTCCACCTGATGGTAAGTGGCTGCTGTGACCCATAGGCATCTACATCTATCCTCGATTACGAATCAAAATGCAGATGCGTTGTCAGCCTTGAGGACTAAGATGGAATGCCTCCTTTCCAGTAAATAGGGTCTCCGGTTCTCTACACTCACCATACGAAACACAGCAGCATTAACTGCTATTTGACGCTGGTATTCTGTGAGACTTCCATCGACTCCATGCGTGTTATTTCATGTTATGTATCTCACCACTTGGTGGGTCCTCAATATTGCGCTTAAGAGGCTACAACTCGAAAACCTGGTTAAGTCCCTGCTTTTCATTTCTCAGATCTCGACATAGTATCGGACCAACTCCGTCAGACCTGTGGTCTGGCCGAGGTCTCAAAACCAGGCCCTGTCCACTAATGTATGAAACTTTTGGAGGTGGATGGGGATCTCCCGTCGGACAAGGCGTTCTGTCCGGGGAGTGACCAATGCTCCGAGTGGTAGTTCAGAGCTATTCTATATATGCACATACGCTGCTTTACTTCGGAACTTTTGATAGCGCGATTTAGGCTTCGATGTGTTTCGCTTGTGGCGCGACGACAATGCCGCCACATCACTACCCCGCTCAGACCGTAGGTCGATAGTGCAGTCCGATGGTTGGTGCGTCCTTAATTCTGGTGGAGAATGCACGCTGTGTGCGTAATGGCAACTGACACCGGTGCGAAAAAAATGCCGACGTGTAATGCATGCCGTACTAACGCACTTGTAAGTGATACCGGGGAGAACGATGTGCCGGAGCAAGTGCTAGAAGTCTGCCTTATAAATCTGCGGTGAGTCGAGATGAAGACAAGTTGGACTGGTTTACAGGACCCGAAGACTGTAGAAGACAATACTCTGGAGTTCACTCCCGAGAATTGTCTTCTGCAGTCGTTGTTAACAACGAAGGTTTCTATTATTTGAAGGTTGTTTGGTGTGTTTACATACGTTGGTTGGTCACCACTTTGGCCGTGGATAGAAAAGGGAGACCTGCCGGGCAAGTTGTTCAGCCCGGGAATCGGCAATCATACTTCAGAACTTTTGATAGCGCGATTTAGGCTTCATTGTGTTTCGTTTGTGGCGCGATGGCAGCGCCGTCACAGAACCTATGCGGGATTAATAACAGCGGCATTTTATTAAATTCGCAGTGAACTAAGTTGGCTTCGCAGGCCGATGTAGTTCTAGACATACCGTGTAGATGGCGCTGTTACAGAATTATTTCATTTGATTAGCGTCCGATGTGTTTGACAGGGACTCCACATATTAATTTGAAATTTATAAAATTATGAAATATTTTACCTCGCCATTTGGTTTCGTGATAGTGAAATTTCGGCAATCCACAGCAGTAGCATTCAATCGTTCTATTCTCTTATTTATCCTATCCAATACATAATCTGCATATTTGTTAAGAGCGATTGTTTTTTCTTGGTCGTATTTTCTGGAAAAAAATAACTGTCAATGAAAAAAATATGTTTGGCAAGTTTTTTATTTATCTTGCCCTTTGCATCGGTTGTCTTGCATCAGTTTTTAACGTTTAATGTGTGTGTGAGTCTCAGAGATATTCAATTATTGTAGTTTATTTAAAGTGATCAGAAAAACCGTAAATTGAGCAGCCGAAAGCTATATACACGTAAAAAGCTAGAAAAAGGTTAATTAGTTATGATTCCATAGTAGACACCATTTAAAACATGGGTTATGATTGTGCTTATTTAATGAAATTTGCAATACTTAAAAAATGGCTTTTTCACTTTATACTTATATATATGTACCTATATACTTAGTTAAATAATACTTACAAAAATTTGCTACTAGCTTTATTTCCTGCTATTGCAAAGTACGTTAGGTAATCGTTGACATAATCTTTAAACCATTTATCCAAATTAGTTTTCAGTAGGCCAAGTATTCTACCTGTGAAAAAAAATATTTAAGTAGTAAAAATAATGTGTAAAAATAGCGTAATACTATATTGACCTTCGATACTTACCTATAAAGCTTTTTTGTAAAGGAAAAGGTTTATTTTCTTTTTGCTTATTTATATACTACAAAAATTACAGGTACAAATTAAATATTATTAATATATTTTAGAATACATTATCATTTATTTCATGCTTTTGAAATCTTACCATCATCAAAATATCGCTTACGGCTACGTCAGACGCAATTAGTTCAATCCACAGTTTGTCCCGTAATATGCGATACCGTCCTTCCATGGTGTACTGGACATTTCTTAGTAGAAATCTATATATTTTAAAGTTCTTTATAGTGCATACAAATTGTTTCTGTTACTTTCGCCTACTTCTAACATATGAGATGTGCATATTTATGTTTAGTGTGACGGCTCGTTATTATTAATAATAAAATTAATAATTAACTTCTATATAAGGGAGCTTCAAAAATAATCTTAAAAGATATATATTAAAAAATAAAAATACATTAATAAGCATAAAGTTAAAATAAATAAATTTCAGACATAAGTATTATAGTAAATTAACGGCTAAATATTGTCTTTCAAAATAAATAAATTTATTAAAAAAAACTTGTAAAAATATTCAAAATGTGGTAAGTAATAGAAATACAAGTCGAAAATATTATAAAAATAAGGATAATTAACAATTATAAAATAATTGGAGAATTGGATAAAAATCGCCCGAAGTCATGGAGGGAGTTCGTGTATAAAAGACAATTTTTTAGGTCTTTTATACTAAAGCATTATTATAAAAGGTCTCCTTGATGCATAAGCATTATATAGGGTGGTCGGGTGACCGACTGCTTATAGTACTGTTGCAGTATAACTGTTACTAGTCCTATATTAGGTACTTATGATAGTAAGGTCTATTATGCTAAAGCATTATTATAGAAGGTCTCCTTGATGCATAAGCATTATATAGGATGGTCGGGTGACCGACTGCTTATAGTACTGTTGCAGTATAACTAGTCCTATATTAGGGACTTATGATAGTAAGCTCTATTGTACTAAAGCATTATTATAGAAGGTCTCCTTGATGCATAAGCATTATATAGGGTGGTCGGGTGACCGACTGCTTATAGTACTGCAGGACAATGACTAGTCCCATATTAGGGACTTATGATAGTAAGCTCTATTGTACTAAAGCATTATTATAGAAGGTCTCCTTGATGCATAAGCATTATATAGGATGGTCGGGTGACCGACTGCTTATAGTACTGTTGCAGTATAACTAGTCCTATATTAGGGACTTATGATAGTAAGCTCTATTGTACTAAAGCATTATTATAGAAGGTCTCCTTGATGCATAAGCATTATATAGGGTGGTCGGGTGACCGACTGCTTATAGTACTGCAGGACAATGACTAGTCCCATATTAGGGACTTATGATAGTAAGCTCTATTGTACTAAAGCATTATTATAGAAGGTCTCCTTGATGCATAAGCATTATATAGGATGGTCGGGTGACCGACTGCTTATAGTACTGTTGCAGTATAACTAGTCCTATATTAGGGACTTATGATAGTAAGCTCTATTGTACTAAAGCATTATTATAGAAGGTCTCCTTGATGCATAAGCATTATATAGGGTGGTCGGGTGACCGACTGCTTATAGTACTGCAGGACAATGACTAGTCCCATATTAGGGACTTATGATAGTAAGCTCTATTGTACTAAAGCATTATTATAGAAGGTCTCCTTGATGCATAAGCATTATTGTGTCGGTCATTGTAATAGTGATGTAACTCCATAATATTAAAAAAAATTTATTTTCCCATAGTGGGCTTACAATGTATCATATCTTTCAATATAAAAATGAAGCAACTCCACTGATACCACTAAAGTAACGTAGATGTCGCTATTTTGTTTAGTCTGGGAACAGATTTGTACTGTTATTCACTATAAAAGTGAAGTATGTCCCAAGTCACTTTTATAATGAAGTAAGTCCGGAGTTGATTCACTTTTATTGCGACCGATTGTTGTCATCCGTTGTACGTGTTGTGATAATTATTCAAAAAGGATTTTCAAAGTCGGTGTTTTTGTGGGGTTTTAATAAAATATGTCTAATACCATTGAGCTATTATGTACTATGTACTAGAGGAGACACTGCATTCAGCTACTCTGTTCCACTCAACTGCGGTGCATGCACTGCACTTTAATCAGTCACTCGCTAGGCGCTTGTAGAGTTGTCACGTGTTGTGTTGATTTAAAAAAAAATCTCTTGATAAAAATATGCCGTCTTGTGTACTTAGATATTGGACAAATAATTCAAGAAATGTCAGTAAAATCCAAGGAATTACTTTTCATCGGTTAATAAGATACTTATTCAATAAAAAAGTATTATAAATTAATAATAAAGCAAATTATTCCTAAGACGCCATCTCGTATCATTGAATATAGATTATGAAATTAATATGTTCAGATGCGACATTTCTGTGGGTACTTAAGTTTAGGACGAATATATTATTATACTACACATTTTTTTTGTAGAAACATATAAGTTATTATAATTAAGCTAAATTTTTCATGTTTAAATCTGCTTACTATTCTTTTATTTTATTTTTAGGTTTCCACTTCAAAGTCAAAGTGGAATAAATTCGTCCATTTTTAACTCTCGCGTGCCCAGCATTTATGAACGATTATTTACAACATTTATGATTCTAATTTAAATAAATATATTTGTAATTTAAATTTTATGTTAATAAGTTTTGTTAAACATACATTTAGTACGTTTTTTTATATTTGACATAGATACCTTTTAAAATATTCAGATAACAATATCATCAAAATGTAATTCTGACATAATATTATGTAATATTATATTAAATTAGCACATATACAAAATAAAAAACAATTTAAAAAATTGTAAGTACTCGATATAATTAACAATACAATATAAATAAACAATTATTACATACTGACCATTCTACTTACGTATAATCTATAATAACAAAAACTGACCGCGCAAGCGCAAAGCGCGTTTATACCAACTGCGCATGCGCGACTCTACTATTACCGCGCATGCGCGAAGACATAGAAGTAGCGCACAATTTTTTGTTTGGAATAGCTTCTCTAGTACGTTGTACATTATAACTCAATGTCTAATACAGAAGATTTTAGTGATTCTGGTTCTGAATATCAGCCTATTCCTGGAGAAATTCATACAGAATCTGGTAAGTTATATTTTTATTAGTTGTTTTTCTAACCTAAAAATATTGTGATAACTTTCAAGTTTATAGACAAGAAAATACGATATCTAAGAATATATTTTCTATTTAGTTATGTTCTAGAAATCACTATTATTTTATTGGTTTCGTTTTTATACTTGTTTCAGAAACAGATACAAGTTGTGACGAAAATATTATGATGCCGTCTAGTCTATCAGAACCTGGAACATCTAAATCTAGAAAAAGGTCAATCAACAAGGAAAATTGGACAGTTAATAAAAGAAAGTTATTGCGTAATAGTGGAAAAGGTTATGTAACTAAAATGGGAGTGGAGAAAAATACCAAAATCTTCGAAAATATTGACTGTGGATGTCCTAAAAAATGTTATACGCTTTTTACAGAAAATGAAAGGCAAGAAATGTTCGAATCATTTTGGAATTTAAAGGACTTTAATCAGCAAAATGCCTTTCTATATGCATTAGTGCAAAAAGCATCTGTTAATAGAAAACGACCTAAAGATCTGTCACGAGCAGGAAAAAACGTTTCGTTTAAGTATTTTCTCAAATCTCATATTATGACACAACTGGTATGTAAAAAATATTTTTTGAAAACATTCCAAATCAGTGATGGAAGATTATATCGCAGTCTATCAAAAGGCGATGTCTCGCAATGTAAAGATAAACGAGGCACGACTAGTACTCGAAAATTAGATGATTCTGACATTATTACTCATATACAAAGCTTTCCCGCGTACCATAGCCATTACACAAGAAAAAGTAATCCTAACCGGAAGTTTTTAAATCCTGGGCTAACTATTCGAAAGATGTACGATCTATATAAAGAAAAATGTTTGACTGAAATGACAGAACCTAAAAAATTAAAATATTATAATAAAGTTTTCAACACCAAGTTTAATCTACATTTCAAGGCACCGCACCAGGATACATGTAAGACTTGCGATAGCTTGAATTTTAAAATTAGAGGCACCGATGACGAGAACGTGAAGAAAGAGTTTGAAGTTCAAAAGGAACTTCATCAAAGAAAGGCAGATTCGGCAAGAGAAAATCTACAAATTGATGCTAAAAAGATTAATGACGCATATGTACTAACCTTTGATTTGCAGAAAGCTTTAGCTTTCCCAAAATTAACTACTTCGGTAGCATACTATAAAAGGAATCTGTATTTGTATAATTTGGGAATACATTGTTTTAATAACAACACGGGGTACATGAACGTCTGGAATGAGATAGAAGGAGGGCGAGGGTCTCAAGACATTGCAGTCTGTCTCGTGAAACATTTAAAAACTCACGCGGTAACACAAAATCACGTCATCATGTATTCCGATTCTTGCACTGGACAAAATCGAAACATTAAGACTACCCTTTCCCTTTTAAAGCTCGTACAAGACCCGGATACTAGTATAACCACCATAGACCACAAGTTTTTAGTGTCCGGGCATTCTTATTTGCCTAATGATGGGGAATTTGGGATAATTGAGAGCGCAAGTCGCCGTCATGGACAAATTTATAGCCCGGATCAATGGATTGAGATCATGAAAACAGCCAAACGCAAAGAACCACATTTTGTTGTAACGGAAATAAAAAATTCCGAATTTAAAAGCACTGCGGCATTAGAAAAATGTATTACCAACAGAAAAAAAACAACCTGTGGTTACGACTTCAACTGGCTGAATATTAGATGGCTGAGGTTTGAGAGGAATCATCCTTTACAATTTCAATTTAAAGAAACGCTCAACGCTGACATGCCCTTCTACAAAGTAGATCTATCAAAAAAGCAACAAGGACGACCAGCTTACTTGTACAATATTCAACAAGGCCCACTCTATCCTTCAGGAAGACCAGTCACTATTGCTAAGAAGAAGGATATGCTTGATCTTCTCCCATACATTCCACCAATTTACCATCAATTTTACAAAAATCTTACTGTAGACATTCCAACACGGTCAAGCATTCTTAATGCTGATGAACGTTCGTCTGATGACGAAATAACCTACGATTAACCACTTAACGAAATCACAATAAGTATAACTCGTCACTTTAACAGTGAAGTAAGTCCACAAAAAAAAATTATAATTTGTTTCATTAAAATAACTTCGTCTTATTTTAAGTAACTATATACTATTATAATATTTCATTTGTTAACTACAATAAAAAATATAAAGCATTGAATAAAAATTTGTAGTTTTTTTTCTACGCGTTAATTAACAAAACTCTTAATTTCTCAAAACTTCATTGCATGGAGATAATTCACTATTACAATGAACGACACATATAGGATGGTCGGGTGACCGACTGCTTATAGTACTGTTGCAGTATAACTAGTCCTATATTAGGGACTTATGATAGTAAGCTCTATTGTACTAAAGCATTATTATAGAAGGTCTCCTTGATGCATAAGCATTATATAGGGTGGTCGGGTGACCGACTGCTTATAGTACTGCAGGACAATGACTAGTCCCATATTAGGGACTTATGATAGTAAGCTCTATTGTACTAAAGCATTATTATAGAAGGTCTCCTTGATGCATAAGCATTATATAGGATGGTCGGGTGACCGACTGCTTATAGTACTGTTGCAGTATAACTAGTCCTATATTAGGGACTTATGATAGTAAGCTCTATTGTACTAAAGCATTATTATAGAAGGTCTCCTTGATGCATAAGCATTATATAGGGTGGTCGGGTGACCGACTGCTTATAGTACTGCAGGACAATGACTAGTCCCATATTAGGGACTTATGATAGTAAGCTCTATTGTACTAAAGCATTATTATAGAAGGTCTCCTTGATGCATAAGCATTATATAGGGTCGGGTGACCTAACTGCTTATAGTACTGCAGGACAATGACTAGTCCCATATTAGGGACTTATGATAGTAAGCTCTATTGTACTAAAGCATTATTATAGAAGGTCTCCTTGATGCATAAGCATTATATAGGGTCGGGTGACCGACTGCTTATAGTACTGCAGGACAATGACTAGTCCCATATTAGGGACTTATGATAGTAAGCTTTATTGTACTAAAGCTTATAGAAGGTCTCCTTGATGCATAAGCATTATATAGGGTCGGGTGACTGACTGCTTATAGTACTGCAGGACAATGACTAGTCCCATATTAGGGTCTTATGATAGTAAGCTCTATTGTACTAAAGCATTATTATAGAAGGTCTCCTTGATGCATAAGCATTATATAGGCTGTTCGACTGCTTGTAGTACTCTTGCACAATGACTAGTCCTATATTAGGGAGTTATGATAGTAGGGTCTATGATACAAAAGCATTACTATAGAAGGTCTCTATGATGAATTAACTTTACAATACTAGAGTTGTGGGTTGAAGTCCCATATGTTAAAGACGTGATAGTAAAGTCTATAGTACAAACGGTAATCGATAAGTCCTAGACATATCCAGTAAGCGGGTTTAGCAATACGGCTTTCCCGTGGACACCGCAAACGCAAACCCATACAGTTTGTTATGAGTGTGTTTGGTAGCACACTTAAGTGTAACAAGCATACTCAACTTCATGTCTTAGTGCGTTAGTGCTTTTATACGTGGAATTTTGTTCACTGGTGTCTTAGTAGCGTGCTACTATGATACGTTGGTGCAGTTTTTAGTTTTTAGTTAGTTTTAGTTAACGGTGTTCACGTAGCTTATAAGGCACTACCAACAGCTTTCAATTGCTCTAGTGAATATTCATTCTTACAAAAGACACCTAAAAGAACTATGTTACAAAACAAACACAACGTAAAAAAGGGTCCTAACCAAGACAATCATGCCATAAATATTAGAAACGGCTTATTACTAAACCTTTAGAAAGATCGTTAGGAAGATCAAAACTTATTTATTTATCCTGGTCACAAAGTATTAGGTGATGGTTAACGACTATATTATAAAGGTGGATTCAACAGGTGAATGTTATTTATGGAAGCAACTTTACTAGTAGGTAGTACAGCTCTGCGCTCCCCAATACGCTAACTTCATAATTCATTCATTCATTGAACTTCATGATGACAAATCGAATGGCGTGTGTCCGGTAGCGGATTAGGCACAAATTAAATAAATAAAAATAATTATTTTCCGTTTCAATATAACTTTTGTTTTACCACGTACTTACTCTACTTCTCCGAAGGCAGGGGTGTAGAAAATTTCGTACAGTAGGTTGTACTTTGTATTTGTTTGTACTTTATAGGTCATTCGTTCATAAGCGCCAACTATGTGGAGGTCGTTGAGAGATAGTTTAGCTGTGAGCACCATATTAGCTAAATCGTTGTGCAAGAAGTTAATGCGGAAGTGAGTATTGTTCCTAAGTTTCATGCGGTGAAATGACCTACAAAAAAGTTACACAATTATATAATTAGCAAAGCAGTCATCTTGTTGAAATTACGAAGAGTGTACATAGGAATTACATGGTTCAATTCCACCCTCTCTTTTCCACCATCCGACAACCAGATGATCGACCCCTTTGTTGTCGATATTCGACGCATTCGAACTAAACCGTTTGCTTCGTCTTTCGCAATGTGTACAGCTAGGCAGTGATATAATTTGTCGGTCTGCCTTTCTATCTTATTACAATCTAGGTGTCTTTAAATCAACAGAGAATAGGCTTTTGTTACGATAAGACACTGATTTACTATATAGGGTTTAATCACCGCTAATCACTTGTACCAGTGGTTCGGCAAAATCTCTGCTCTGGGAATAACCTGCGAGAAACACACAAGAAACTACAATAAAATGTGTATATGTAACTATCGTATTTATTATTTTTATGGATTGATTTATTTTATTTTTATTTATTGTTTTATTTTATATAATTTACGTAACATTTTGTATATTATCGTTGCGCGTCACAGTTGATGGCACTAGCACCATCTATTATCGAACAGAGGAACTAAGCTTCCTAGAAAGCTCCACACTCAAACTTTCTGCACCTGGTCGGTCGGGGGCCGGTATTTGCTAGAATATTCTGGATGTTTCGGTGGAAAAGACCTATATAAAGCCGCTGAGAGCCGCAACCGGGGCAGTATTGAATTGGCGATACGAGCGAAGCTTTCGGAGTGAAATAAAGTGTTAAGTGTGAATAATTATTAGTGTGATTTAAGTTTTAATTGGTGTTCAGTAATTAAAGTGTCAATTTTGGTAATTGAATTGGCAGTTTTTATTGTCCCGGACCCTCAGCTCGTAACATTATTTATTTATTAGTAGTAGTTATGTATGCACTAAGTTTGCCATTTGAATATGCCAATTTCCTTTATGGATCTACTGCAAGATATTTCAGCAAATTATGGAATAAATAGAATCTTTGTACGAACTTATGACTGCTTCTGTATCTTGTATCTTGATGTACATAAAAAATAAAAATGGCAGTGGTACTTTTATGTATTATTTAGAAATAGCATGGAAACGATCACCTCATTCCCATAATAATCCCGTAAAATCCTCCTCAACAACTTAGAACGCAGTGTTCTTAACAACTATCGGCATAAATGTGAGATGGACTTTATACATGATCTCGTCATTTTATATGGTTTAGCTATTAGATCTTGACTATTATTCTCAATTAATTAAATATGAATAGAAGCCGGAGGCACCTTATTCCGATGTAAAAATTCTTATTCTGATGTATGTGGTTCCCAATTTCGAGTGTACAAAATGCAAAGGAGAAAGGTTGGAATATTTTTATTACATATTACATCATTTAATATATCTCATTATCTAACAAGTGAAATTATTTATATAAAAAATATGAATAATCATTCTCATGGATATAAACCTGACAAGTTTATTTCAATTTTATTAATGCTAATTGCATAATTGCAAGGTGTTGTTGACCAATTTTGGTCTTCCTTCACAAACCCCCTACTTTCCTAGAGCGAAAGCAAATTTTCCGGAAATATTATCTTTGCACTTTAATGTAGGTATGTGAATATTTGTGGGGACAAATGGTTTCGTTGCGTAATAAGCATGTTTCTTCATTATCAATATGAACATTTCACACTTACGAAATAAAACCCTATTATTATCTTAATATATCTTATATATATATAAATTAAGTGTCACGTTGTTTGTCCGCGATGGACTCCTAAGCTACTTAACCGATTTTAATCAAATTTGCACACCGTGTGCAGTTTGGTCCAACTTGAGTGACAGAGCTTTTTTGCCCATGAGTGACCCACAATTTTTTTTGCGAATTTAATCAGAGATTTTAATAAGAGTATTTTGTCGAAAAGGGCAGAACAACGTCTGCCTGGTAAGCTAGTCTAATATATTATATAATTAATTATTTTTATTTGTTTCAATACTCGTCGCATTATTACAATAGTAGTATAAACAATATGTGGTTCTCCTTAAAGCAAGATATAGGGTAAAATTATGTTTTTAAACTAAATTAAGTGAAATTTACTATCCGTAATGTTTACAACTTTGTACCTACAGTTTGTGAGGGTTACTATAAAGGAAATAGGAACATACGCGTTATTGAAACTAAAGTAAAGTTAGCTGCTGCTGTTGCGTAAAATTGTGAACACTGTATTTTGCGTGTGCATATGTCGTGAAATAAGGTGCTCATAGAACATTAACCTGACCAACATATACATCGGAATAGCGTTTCACACCAAATCATCTCCTTTCCTAATTTCGAGTATTAAAAATCCAAGAAATTTGCATCATTTACGAGTATATACCTATTATTAGGGAATGAAAAGCAAAAGTACACCTCGTAAATTATTTTAATTAATTTTTTTATGTTGTCAAACCCAAAGTAGAAAGGGCCTAATAACAATAACAATCCTGACAATTAAAAAATAAATTAAGTATCTGAAATCGCTATTTCACTATATAAATCGGAATAAGGAGCCGGCTGAAATATTTGGCAACTAATACCGCAGTATCTCCAAGACTTATTTTCACCTTGATTTGTACAAAAAATGATACAAAATTTAAGTGTTAATCGACTAAAAATATAATCCTTGAAATAGTTAACTCAAAGAATTACCCACATGGTACAAAAATAACCAAAAAATCACTATTTAAAAAGCCTTCTAAAATGTATGAAGCGTAAGTTCGGACGAGCTGCTAACGCAAAACTAACCAATTATTTTAAAATGTATACACATTGCTCCAGATCTTTAATGATATGAGTACGCAAAGTTATATTTTCAGTTGAATATGAGATCTTACAGTAAAAAAGAGCTAGTAAATCGCATGTAAACGATTTTTTTAAATACCTCGGAATAAGGTGCCTTTACCTTATTTGATCCGGGATCAGGTCAAGGTTCAAGCAAAATTGCTAAGATATAGCTATACTCGTAAACTCAGAAACCTCTTCGTGCCTTATAAGTAATCTTTTTCGAAAAAACGAGATTATCGAGATTACGAGGTTAGCAAGCTTTCCAAACTTGTTCTAAAGAATTCTGGCTAAACTTCAATTAAAGAAAACTGTATCAATACTATTGTGATTATTGTAGGCCGATGCGTTAGGGGGCGTCCATAAATTACGTGAGATGTTTAAGGGGGGAGGGTGTTGAGTCAAATCTCATCTAATCTTACGTTGGAGAGGAGGGGGGGGGGTCTCGGCAAATATCACGCAATTTTTTTCCGAACTTTAAAGAGCATGACGGAGAGTTATTTGCTCCAATTCTAATACGCCACTGCCTACCGATTCAACCGCTGAATGCCTTCATCAGCACGCCTTATGATCTCTATTGCCCAAGTGTACGTGATGATTTAGAGAAAAGATGCTTCAGTACATGCGGTATTTACTTTGCATCTATCACAAGAGCTGCAGAGCACAGGCGAGCAGCCCACAAGCAAGCGCGTATGTTCCACAAAGTGTGACCCTCACGGATTGTCACAAGACGAGCTAATGAGTCACTGTGCGCAAGCGCCAACGGCTTAGAGTGGATAGATCAGAACGAAGTTGAAGGAGCAGATGATTTTACTATAAATCATATGAACATATTGGTTCCAATAGTCTCTTAAGACCGCGCATGACTCTCCATGGCCTGAATTAGAGTAGATATTCTTTTTTTCAATCACAGTGGTCACGATTTAAGTATTCCATTGTTAAATATTTTTATTTTTTGTTTATTACACTCAGCATTATTGATTACTAGTCTTAACTAGTCGTAAATAAAAGCACGAAGAATTCTTTTTACAACAACAATCCAACGCGTTTACGTAAGAAACCCACATTGTGAAAAATCTCACGTGATATTAGGGGATGGGGGAGCGGGGTGAATAAAATCTCACGACATCTCACCAGGGGGAGAGAGAGACAGAAAATTTAAAAAAACACCTCACGTAATTTATGGACGCCCCCTTATCCGGTGGAAGCCAATAATACGCCAAAGTTTCGTAATGGCATGAAAGTACTTTTTCGCTAATTTACTTTAGCTATTGTGATTTAGGTTATTCCCATATGAAGTATACAATTTAGTTTTCACTATAAGTTGAAATCTTTATTAATGTTACTATTGTAAAAATTAGTGTCCATACTATATTTGGTACCAATTATTTTATTTATTCATATCACGGTGCCCGTGAGCCACTAACGTGATAATTCACATTTTTAAGGGTATGTTCCAAAACGTTTTCAGTATACTGCCGAATACAAATGACGTCATTAATTGACACTATATTGTACGCTATATTGTGTCAGATATCCGGCCATAATAGAACAATTTTTTATTGTGTGTATCGGTGAATGAAGCATGCCAGAATTTGTTTTTATTTATTCAAATACAAAACATTATAGAATAATTGCTGGTATTTGGCCATTATTAGGAGGATACGAGTATAATGATTTTTGGAGCACAAAATGACAAAATAATCGCCAACAGTTTTTAAATGTTTCGCAAATGTATGACGTCATATACTTTCCTATGTTTTGTAACGAATCGCCAGTATAGCGTCGATTCATGACGTCATTTGCATTGGACAGTACACTGGGTTGTATTTTGGGACATACCCAACATGTCAAGACATCTCTTTTGACGCAAGCGTTGCTGGGTGCAAAAATTACGTGTCGAAAAAACAGCCGCATGAGGAATTTGAAAAAAATTAGTGTATCTTTTCACCAGTAAGCCGAAACTATTTATATTTTGTAATTATTGGTAACAAAAATAAATAAATGTTATTGTGTAAAACAGCAGTACCAGAGATATTGGCAAACCGCGAAATATTGTCGTTTTTAAAGTTGTTCTTGGTATATATAATGACAAGCTAAGATGCGATCAAATGCGGAGAAGAATAGTAATTTAATGATCTAAGAATAAATTGTTATATTTTTTTTTTACTAAATGTTAATTTTGTTTCCTCTATAGGTATTAGTGAAAATTTTCAATAGTTTTCAGATTTAATCTCCTGGTTACGTATCATTACTACGTAATGTATGTTCCATTCACACTCAATCATCCATAAAGGTTTGGGTAGACCCATTTTGTGTAAAAAAAATATATTTCGTAATATGTAACTTCTTACACTTTCTTCAAATTTTGCTCTTATGCGGTGTTGTTTATTAATACTGTATTATTTATTACTATTGGTACTTTTTAGATAAGACAAGATATATTTTTATTTACGTAAGCCAACCTTGCAGTTTTTCTGGGGATCGGAACATAAAAAATATGTATAGAAGCGACGGAAAGGCTTAACGGGAAGCCCTACCAAAATTGTTACAATCGCTTAAATATTTTATTCAGGCCGACTTCTTGTAAATTCGACGTAAAGAAAGAAGGACAATGCAATTCCACGTAAAGACATTATATACATTTACGTGGTAGAGCCATGCTGCAGTTATATTAGTAGTATAGTTGTAGCACGAATGGGTCGGCTCGACTGGGGAAGGACCACGTGTTTGGAACGGTGAGTGTAGAGAACCGGAGACCCTTTTTACTGGAAAAAAGGCATTCCATCCTAGTCCTCAAGGCTGACAACGCATCTGCATTTTAATTCACAAACGAGGATAGATGTAGATGTCTATGAGCCACAGCAACCACTTACCATCAGGTGGACTGTGTGGCCGCTTGTCACCCTTTTCCTACTTAAAAAAAAAACATAACATTATTACCGTACAAGGGTGTTCCTGTGAAAATAATTAATATATAAAAAATATAAAATAATAAAAACATCTGAGAATGTGATGGCTTGAAAAACAGGCTACAGACATTGAGGTATCACTACAGCTCGGTCCGATTTTGATAAAAACTCAAAACGATGTAATAAAATCATATTTTTTAGCCAGAATCAAACTCATGACTTTGATTAAGTGCTATAACATAGTGCCGCTTACATAATTCTATATTCTGGGAAGTAAAGTTAAAAGGCGAACTAAAAGAAAGATTTATTTTTAAGAAAATTTAATTTTTTTATACTCGTATAGAATAAGGGTTACAAAAGAGCACACAGTCTCTCCGATGGCAAGCAGATACTGCCATATGCCATGATGCCCATAGACATTTATATGCATCTTTGATCACGAATCAAAATGCAGGTGCGTTTTTACCCCTGTGGGCCAGGACGGATGCCTCGTTTTCACCATATGAAACACAGCAGCATTAAGTCGCTATTTTACGCTGGCATTTTGTGAAGGTGTGATTCTTCCCAGGCGAGTCCATTAATTCATGATAAAATCATAATATAGCTGCAACATGACTACGCGTACATGGCTCTACTCCGTAGAGCTATGTGTTTTTTTACTTAATGATGTTCATGAAATTATGTTAGTGTTCGTCGTATATGTACTTTTACTGTACTAGTTTTTATACTTTATTTTTATGTAGGCAAATAACACATTTTTTATAATTAAATTAAATTTAAATATAGTATAAATTATTATCCCCTGAGTCCATGGGGCGAGATGGACTATTTTATAATGGCACCATATAACGAAAATGCTAAATATACTCACAAGTAAGAGTCGTTCAAATCTATCAAACAATTTCCACCAAAATTGATACCGGCAGGTATAAAAGCAGGGTTGCCTGCAGCGCTATGAATGGCACTTTCTGCAGCACCCCGGGTCTTGAGCATCATCTGTTGATGAAAATTTATTTTAATTATTAAATGATTACAACAAATTAGTTATCAATAGTAGATCCAAGGTGGATCGTTAAAAATGCTAGTTTATTGCATGAGAAAATATGTGCAAGTTTAACAATGAGAATAGTACACACAAAACATTCTGGTCGAAATTAAAAACAATTATTTTTAACAACATTATCGTGCTATTAAAAAAATAAAAATAATAATTCAATAAAAATTAATCTGTACAAGTATCGCGTGTTATTCCATTTAGCACCTTCCCATGCCATAATTTTATATGATTACATTATTTTTTTTTGCGCACCAGTGCATGCACAGTATTTTTCCATTTGAAACAAATTAGTTATATGGAACACATACGCTGCGTCACGTCCGCGAAAGTGCCATCTGAATGCCTTGAAAAAACCCATGAATCCGACCTGACACACCCGTGGTAGAGATAGAATTTGCATCTTTATTAGATCTTGCAGTGCTAGACTCAGGTGCTACCGAGAGCCTGGCCAGTCCCGTACTATAAAATTTTACTAGAAAACGGGAAAACTTTCTTCTTCTTGGGCCTTGCTGATGGAACGCAGCAGGTACGTAAATTGTTATCATGTGACAAGAACGTCACAATTCAGGATCGCGCTATACCCACCACTTTCCTAGTGATATCAGAAGCGAATAATAGGATCCTTCTAGGACAAGATTTTATCGTCGGAGCAGGTATATTGGTGGACCTCCAACTTAACAGTTGGTGCTTTTGTACTTCTCCCGGATAGAAGTTTACTTTTGTGCGGTCTTACAGCCTTCATCTACTAGTGATGTAGAGTTGATGCAGGTTGATACCACCAGTTTGGCACTAGAATGAGGAAGAACGGTCGAATATATCGCCTGCCCAGAGAATTCAACTCTATCTGCTTATAATTAGTAGAGCGGAACGCTTCGCCACCGAAGGACCCACTACAACTTACGCCACCCATCACATTCGGGTTGATGAGAAGCAGAAACCGATCGCTTCACCACCTTATAGAATGTCGCAAGGCAAAAAACAGTTTTTAGGCGGTGAGCTCGAGAAGCTACGACGCGCAGATGTGATAGAGGAATGTGGGTCGCCGTAGGCTGCCAACGTCGTCGTAGTCGCGAAGAAGGACAGTGGTGTCCGCTTGTGTGTGGACCACCGTAAACTCAACGCCGTGCGTGGCCACAGAGTCTGATCGGTATCTGCTCCCGTGCATGGAAGATGTGCTTCACGCGGCGTGGATCACCAGCTACATGACCATGCTTGACCTCCACTCTGGCTATTTTCAGGTTTGTGTCACAAAAGAATATCGCGAAAAAGCCGCTTTCGTTACACCGTCAGACATCTTTAAGTTTAAAAGGATGCCAGGGGGCCTTCGTAACTCTGGCATCACGTTTCAATGACTAATAGATCGTTTCAAGTCAAACTTGAACGTACCAGCTTGAAGGCAAGAGGTAAGTGACAGCGCCGATGTCCCTTCAGACCCACAACAAGCAGACTTATGACCACTCTAGAACATCTAGACTACCTTATAATCTTATCACAGACATTCGACTGTCACATTGAAGATCTTGAAGCAGTTTTCAGCAGGCTCGAGAAGAGTGACGTGTTAGTCAACCGTAAGAAAAGCTGCTTCGCCCATGATTCTGTGAAGTTTCTTGGTTACATTATCGTTCCTGGTGGACTGTAAGTGGACCCAGAGAAAACCTCGGCTATTGCTGACTTGCCTACCCCGAAGAACGAAAGGCAGCTTAGGGGCTTTTTGGCAACATTTTTTTTATAGAAGAAGGGGCAAACGAGCATGCGACTCACCTGATGTTAAGTGACTATCGCCGCCCATGATCAACCGCAACACCAGAGGCATTGCAGGTGCGTTACCGGCCATTTAGAAAGGAGTAAGCTCTTTTCTTGAAGGTCCCCAGGTTGTATCGGTCCGGAAAAATCGCCGGGGGTAAACTACTCCACAGAGAGGTCGTACGCAGAACAAAACTCCTTTTGAAACGTACAGTGGTAGATCGCCAAGCATCCAGATGGTGTGGATGGTATCGGGACGTTTGCCGCGTTGTGCGTTCACGAAATTTGGCGGCTAGGATTAATCCGAAAAATTCCACAGAGCACTCCCCGTGGTATATGCGAAAGAAAATGCAAAGAGATGCATCATATTTTTGCAGCGCCAGTGAATCGAGCCGATCGGAAAGCACTCGGTCGTCGACGATTCGAGCCGCTCTGCGCTGGATGCGGTCAAGTGGAAGGAGCTGGTACTGGGAAGCCCCAGCCCAGAGATGGGAACAGTATTCCATGTGCAGCCGAACCTGCGCCTTGTAAAGTTGCAGTCGGTGTGCCGGCATGAAATATTGTTCCACTCTGCTGAGCACGCCAAGCTTTTTAGATGCCAATTAGGCCTTCTCTTCCAAATGACCACGAAACTGCACGTCACTCGATATGTCGAAGCCGAGGATTCCGATACTGGCTGAGGGAACTAGAGGGGTGCCTTGAAACTGAGGAGATACGACAAAGGGGTTCTTTTTAGCGGTTAACGCGCAAACTTGTGTCTTCTGGGGGTTAAACTGGACTAGATTTAGCCGCCCCCAATCCGAGACTCTGTTCAGCAGAGACTCGACTACAGATACAAGTTTGTCCCGGTACTCGGAGACGTTTTCCCGAGAAGTATTGCCACGGCCGGTGTACTGAGCATCACTAGTGCTGTCATCTACATAGCAATGAATGTTACGGGTTTGCAACATATCATTGATATGCAATTATATGACATTTAGCTGGTTTCAACGCTTTGTACCAAACTACGCTGCAATTTCCAAGTCTTTGACTGACCTGATCTTTTGATCCAGGGGGAGAGCCCCGACGAAAGACCCATAGACGATGCCAGTCGCTTGCTGTCGCCTGCTGAGCTCAACTACACCACCACCGAGCGAGATTCTCTTGCCCTCGTTTGGGTGGTAACAAAGTTCAGGCGTTACGTAGAAGGGTTGAAAGTAGTGGTTAAGTCCAACTGTCAGCCGCTGCGTTGGCTGATGAGCCTAAAGTCCCCTAGAAAACGTCTCGCCAAATAGGCTTTGACTTTTCAGGCCTATAACTTCCAGATCCAGTATACTCCCGAAAAGGTGTATGTAATCTCCGATGCACTGAGCCGGCCAGCCTGTTGCGAAGTAAACCCAGATTTTTGCGAGGTATGCTTAGTGGCTGTGAGTATTCCACACAGAACGCCTGACAACGTGCGCATTAATCAACTTAAGGACCCCGAACTCAAGAGTATTGGCGACTTAGGGGCAACCGACGATCCCCTCAGGGAAAAAAGACGGTCAGAGAGAGGATACCTGGTGTCTTATGGTGTGTTATATAGGTGCGCGCCTGAATCTGAAGACGCTGATACCGCTTGCCTCGTAGTCCTTAAGCATGAGAGGGAGATGATGTACTTATAAATTTCCACGACGCCCCTACGGCAGATTACTTCGGCGTTGAACGTACCCTGCAACGCATTGGAGCACGGATACTTCTGGCCAGGTATAAAATATTTCGTCACCGACTGTATTAAACGCTGTACCGCTTACCTGTTATCAATTTTGTATCACTACAAAATTTATAACAGGAAGCCTGCAGAATATTCCAAGACCACACACCGACCCGGCGATTCGAAGTAGTATCGGTCAATTTGTTCGTACCTCAACCTTAAATTTCGAAAGATAATCGTTGGATTTTAATTCTAGAGGACACTTGCTCCCATTGGGTTGAGCTATTTGTGTTGGAAAACGCTACTATCGTGGAAAGCACTGAGATTTTAATATTCGAGGTCTTCTTGAGGTTTGAAGTCCCGCGCAGGGTGATCAACAATAACGCGGTTCAACTAGTTGGTGAAGTAAAGCAACGGGCCTGTCACGTAATGGAGATCATACAGTCTTTGACGCCGTTGTATCACCCAGAAGTGAACCCAGTTGAGCGCAAAAATCGTGACCTGAAACCATAGTTAGAAATACTGGTTGGGAAGGATCACGCGTCTTGGGATACGCACCTCACGACTATAAGGATCACAGGATTCTCGCCAGCTTACCTTACCTTCGCTAGAGAGCTGCGGGTAGCTTCGCCTTTTTTGCCTTCGGGCGTCGTAGCAGACATGAAGACCATTAAGGATACCGATAATTTTGTTTATAACATTACTCATTACCTACATAAGTTTTCGACGTTGCTTCTTGACGCTAGAGATGTCCACGAACGTATCCAGTCTGTGCAGAACAAGTATGCAGATGAAGCGAGACGGGCACCTCCTGACAAGTAAGGTGACCTTTTGTTGAGAACGCAAGGGATGAATGAGGTGGAACCTGGACAGTCCGTGAAGTTCATACCTCAAAGGGATGGTCCTTACCGTATCTGCGAAGTAGTGAGCTCTACTACTTACCTGGTAGAGGGTGTTACGTTGGGCATTACCATGTGTCTTGTTTAACTCCGTTTCTTCGGTAATGTCGAGGCACCGGTTAGAGAGAAGTGCAGATGTAGTCAGCCGCGTAAATTTGAACGCTAGCCCGAGCGCGAGGGCGCTATGTTCTTACTAGAGAGGAAGTGTGTGCGACGCGTGCGCGCCGTCGCGATGAGGTACATTCGCGAGGTCGCGCGCTGGTACAAGTATAAACCTCCTGCTCCCCCGCCACTGCATTTCGATCGAGTCTAGTCGGCACCCGCCTCGCATATTGTTAACCACCTAATTATTTTTACAACTCGACAATAATAAGTTCGATAATTGTGTCGAAGTCTTGCATTGATTAAAATAGTGCTTACACAACATTAAAATGTCGTCCTCGTTTGCAAAGCTTGTCTCGCTGGCGTATCCACAGCCACTACAGTTATCAACAACATATTATAATAATATTATATCTTGTATCCTTGAAAATGCTAGTTTATTGCGTGTGAATATTTAGTAATGAAGTATTTATTATACACCTGTCTTAAAAATTGTAATACAAAAAAAAACATTCTGGTTGAAATCGAAAACAAAAAACAAAATGAAAAAAAAAAACAAATAAAATTAATCTGTACAAGCGTCGTGGGTTACACCGTTTAGCACCATGCGGTCCCATGATATAATTTTTGGATTATTATGTTATTTTTAGTGCACACCAATGCAAGCAAAATATTTTTCAAAACTTTGTATTAGCTTACGTTTTTGAGACTTTTAGTTCTAATCGTTTTAATAGTCAAATAAAAGCAGCTTCTTACATTAATTTCTCTGCATAATATATACCTATCTAACATTCATTTTTAACAGCGAGACATATGGGTCAGCATGGATTCGCCATAATTGTTACGCCTGACAGGTGGAATGACGATCACAGTTTCAGACGTCTCACACATTTGACGCTGGTGCAAGTCATCGGTCCGGGCATTTTACACCTAACGTTAAGAAATGTTTATAGTCACCTCTTATGCTACCTACATGGATGGATTTTCTTGAACATTTACTACACACCAACACTTTTGGGCAAATACGGAATTTTATAGAAGTCAAAGTAAAATTTAAAAATTAGAGAAATCCATGAAACACAAATGTTTGTAATCTAACTATATCTAACGTACATCTAAAATTTCCTTATCAAAGTTGTTCCTCTCGATTGCTTTTTGATATTCCTCCCGAACTTTGGCATAACGATCTGCAAATCAACGAAAATTATTCTTAATGAAGTAGTTTGTTAGTAAAAGTTTTGACAAAACTTCAATACTGCAATAAAGCTATAAACATATTTAAAAGATTAAAAAAGTACTGTCTATGCCATCCATTAAATGAAAATGTTTCGTGATGTTAAATTCATTCCAGCAATTTTTGTTAGAACCCTTGTCTTTAAAAGCATTTTGTGTTTTTAGTGGAGATATTCTATTTTTCTTGCCATAACCTGCATCATCTGTTGAAGCAATATTTAGTATATTAAGAGTCGAAAATCTTTGACATCATCTTGACGTCAAAGTTAGCCCTGGTTACTTTGAGTTTTTAAATTATTGTAGGTAGAATTATGCAGAAATAGCTCATAGGTAATCTCAATGTCATCCAGTAACATGATAGATAATACTTAGGATTTAGCTTAAATATTAGATTACAGCTTTATTAAGTTTGCAGCACGAATGGGTCCAGCGTCATATAGCACTAACACAGTAGCATTAATTCTGTTGTGTTTCGTAAGGTTCGTGTGGAGGACCGGGACCCTTTTTACTAGCATTGAGCCACAACATCAACAGCATCTACTTAGCACCGGGTGGACTGTATACTCGTCCATAATACTTTGATCTAGGCGATCTAGAACATAACAACGATGGTCATGTAAGCTATAAGTATAGCCAGTATAGAATTATCAAATCATCTTATTTTAATATGTAATTATCGAAGGTTTAAAAAGTTAGTTTACGTTGAATAAAACTAAATTTACGGATTTTATCGCGTTTAATTAACTACTTTTACTTATTTTTAATTCCCGACGTTTCGGGTGCTTTACACCCATGGTCACAGGGGACTGAGATGTTTGACGCCTCAATGTCTGAGTTAGTCCGGCTACCTTCAGTTTTATAATATTAATTGTTCGGTCCGATCTACGCAAAATGCTATATGTTGTTTCAAATAAATAGATTGACTTGGCCATCGTATGAAAACGCAATGTATCTCACAACTAATTATATTAAATTAGATTGCTTAGTGCGATTGCCAAGTCAATCTTTATATTTAAAACATAAAAGATTTTTAACATTGATATGGTCACTATAAAATTTTCTTAGGTTGGTTAATTACGTAATAACTTAAAACAGAAGGATTCTTAAGTAGGGACTGAATAAATTAACCGATCATACACGCAATTATTCGCCGAGCTCGAGGACGTCAAGCTAGTATTGTAAGACAATAAGCTTCGGGTCCCGCGCCTACGTCACATTTATCGAGTGATGCTTGTGTGTGCCTGCTTTACTACCATATCAGAAGAATCACAGACATGATTGATTACCTTGAAGCGAGATTTCATTAAAACCAAATGGACTTATCCGCAGAACAGAGTCCGATGTGATCATGGAGCAAAAACGAGTTAAATAGCTAGACGAGATAAGGAATACAAACTATGCAGACGCATGTTTTTATAACTTTCTTAAATTATTTAGTTTCGGAATCATAGAATCAAATAACATTTAATCTGAAATCAGCTTCGCATAAAAATGTACGAAGTGATCTACCCCTTTGTAGATTTTGTTTGAAAATTTTAATTTATTAAGATTTATGGAGGATTTTATTGTTTTTATTTTATTTTAACAAGTATGTACAATCTTTTTATTAGAGTATTCGAAGTTATGCCTGCTTATAAAAATAACTATGTTGGATGTTATAAAGTACAATATTTTTGAATATGACCTAACTAACTTGGAAGTCGAGGCTCGGATGCGTGTGCCAAATTTGATTTCAGTGTACTTTCGATGAATTTTTCGTCATTAGCCTATCATCAAGATTTCAACCGTCAATGAGCAATACGTAATGCGGCCAAATGATCTTGGAACTTTGAGAAAGACCAAGTGTCCAAGATTAGTGATTGTTCAGGCCTAATAGTAGGTCGTCTTATCGAGCGGGGTGAAGCGACGACTACCAGAGGTGCGGGAGGGGGAGGCTAGCTGCATACTGCGTGCAGAGTCAGTCGCCCCTTTTGCATCGAGGCGTGCGGTACGGAGGCCGCGCGCCTCAGCGCGCGGCGCACGCGCAGGCGTTACCCGGTTGGGCTCTCAAGATTAATATAATTGTGCTTCGAAGGGACGATCTTGAGTTATCTTATATTAGTTAGTGAATTGATAACTAGGCTTAATTCTTTAGTGTATTGTGCGAAACCGTTAATTGAATCGACGCGGTGTTAGTTTGTTTTACGTCGGTCTGTGTCATTGAACTTTGACCCATCGTCCTTGAGTTTGCCGCGTGTCCCTAATTAACGTCGATGGACTTGATGGTTTGAACCTAAAGACAATTGATTGGACAATAATTAATAGGTGATAAAAGAGCATAGTTTCCGAGAAGATGAGGTGCTGTGTCTGCCTGCCCCTAAGATGGATCCTATATTTGAAGAGAGGAGATGCCCTCGGATCTGCTGTTCTGCAACCAGCGGGGATATCAGGTTACACAATTGAACACGCACTAATCATGACTCAATCACACACATACTTACACCTGAGTCTTCCTATGGCTAACCCTACTTCGACGAAAAAAGGTAAGTTTTGTTTGGTTCTTTGTTAGCCGCTATAGCTTAATATTCCACAGGTCTTTGACCCTCCTCTGGTCTACCCGTCGAGCTGTTCCACTATGGGCCCTGGGGCAGTCGAGTATGGTCAGGGTAGTCTAAGGAAGTAACATTTGGTAGCAGAGCGTGGTTTCCTGATGGGTTTGCAACCACTCAGCGCAATACGTAGCATTTTGGTGGTGGAG